CCCCAAAACCCCAAAACCCCAAAACCCCTAGATGTTACTGGTTAACAAAAATATTAAAATTTTTAGTTTATTAGGATTTCAATATATATCTGAATTGCTTTAATTCCTCAATCATAGTTATAAGTGATGTAATCTCTGCTACCTTCTAGTCTTTCATCCTATGACGACATTTCTTTTTTAATTTATACTTCTGATAAATGATTATAGAGACCTCCATAACTTAAAGGCAAGAAGCCATCATAATTTTTGTCTTAAAATTCTCTTGGGAAATTTAATTTTCTTTTCCAATATTCAATGACTGCTTTACTGTATAACTAAGGAATTTAAGTAGGTGGTTCTTTTTATATGCAATGTGACATCTTTACGTAGAGATCTCTAATATTTGGGTCCAACTTAGTCCATCTATCACTAGCTACTCTTACACTATCTATCATAGATTTTGACGCTTACTACTTATATTTTTCATATCCATCTATAACTCTCTCGCAATATCTGACCTGAATAGCAAAAATCCTGTTACTTTATCCAATCTTTTGGGATCATCTGATTTAAGCTTTGATTTTTTCTTTGACTTTTTTAATTGCTACTGCTGCTGGACCATTTAATAAGGATTTGTTTGATTTTGCTATTATTGCTGGAAAAACATATTGCTTTGAAATGAATTGCATTGCTGCTAGTTATTTTAACTTTCTAATATAAGTATAATATAGATCTAAGTTTATTACCTTGACTATTCTAATTATTTTCATAAGAGTTAGGACACTAAGGGTTTTTCAAGTTGTTAATTTAGTTAAGGTGCTGCTAATTCTGGAGAAAGTTTTATTGAAAGTCTTTTGTCAGAAACATCTATTGATTTGAAGAGTTTGTCTAGAATTATTGATTTGATGGGTGAAACATGAACTAGCAGTGTTACATATAGTTAAAATTTAAATCGTTGAAAAAATCTGCGCATCTTTTTATTGTTTGATTCATCTATAATATCGTTATAAGAAATTATGTTTTAAACTTACCCATTCAAGCTAATTATCAGGTCTTAGTATCATTCTAAATTAATTCTAATAATAAATTTCGAGTTTTAATGCTACTATTAGGCATTACGGGGTTTTGGGGTTTTGGGGTTTTGGGG